TCCTTCTGTTTCACAGCCCTGCAAAGCTTTTTTAGCTCTAGCTAAAAACCTTGACTCAGATGTGATCCTATGAACTTGGGGGTCGATAAAAATGACTGATAGTGAAGTATTGGAGGCACTGACAAGAAACTCAAGAAAGCTAGATACTGTTTTACAAATCTGAACAAGAGTTGCACATTTAACTATAATGACTACAGGATTAATTAAATGTTATCTTTGCACTATTTTTGCCTAGTTTTTTGCACTATTCTTTAACTTAGGTATATGAATGAAACTTTTTTTTTTACTATTCTGACTATTTTTTGCCTAGTTTCTGAGTTGTTAAAATATTTATCAAGTGTATAATTTAGCAAATCGGTGCACATTCCAATAAAACATACTTTCTTTTGCTTAGATATACAACTAATATAGTGCTTTGCATAGTAGTAAAGCTTCTAGTTTCTTTTTAACTGGAGAAAAATATGTGTTATATTATATGTGATGATGCACCATGCCATCAGCACCCCACTTCTCAAAAACCTCGATCCACACATGGACATATCATTTCATCTCACTTCTTCTCCATATAATATGGGACCACTGGTGTTCTACCCAGGTAGTGCTAATGGGGTCAGCTGACTTTCTGAGGTAGTAGGTTGATTCCTACTAATCTCTCTCCACTCCACAGGTGTGAACAACCCTCTCTCCTTTTTAACAGTCTTCCACTATTCAAACCATCCTTTCTTTTACAATGCTGCTGTTGTTAGCCCTCTTGGTAACATCCCTCTTCTATTTCACAGCCCTGCAGACTCTTTTTAGCACAAGCTCAAAACCTTAACTCAAGTGTGGTCTATGGTGGGCCAGTAGGGGGTGCTCAGACACTGAGCCACCCACCTCACTGCGCCCAACCAAAAACCAAGCTCCAAGTGCCTCCCCTGGGTGCCTCACATGTGGCCAACCCCCTTCCTGAAGCGCACCTGCAAGCCTGGGGTAACTGCTGCCACCACCCGGGATCTGGTCTTTAGTCAGGCCATGTGCCTGCCAGGGTACACAGGCCTTGTAGACCTTGAGGGTGCTTGACCCACTGAGAGAACTTGGGGTTCTTCCTTTAGCCTGAAACACAGAAAGTAGCCTCCCTTAGTCAGCCAAGCAAAGGGAGCATAGAGGCATGCGCCATCCCTCTCAAGCATGTACCACCAAGCTTGCTATAGTGAGAGCTTTATTGTTTAAAGAGGGCAGACTTGGGGAAGGGTACAGGTTTGAAAAGTATCAAAAGAATTTCATAGATTTCATAGATTTCATAGACATTAGGGCTGGAAGGGACCTCGGAAGATCATCGAGCCCCCTGCCCAAAGGGCAGGAAGTCAGCTGGGGTCATAGGATCCCAGCAAGATAAGCATCCAACTTCATTTGAAGGTGTTCAATGTAGGCGCTTGAACCACCTCCGGTGGCAGGCTGTTCCAGACCTTGGGGGCTCGGACAGGAAAGAAATTCTTCCTTATGTCCAGCCTGAAACGGTCTTGTAGTAGTTTATGACCATTCGACCTAGTCGTCATCCCTTGGGGCGCTCTGGTGAACAAATGTTCCCCCAGATACTGGTGTCACCCCTGATAAACTTGTAGGTGGCCATCAGATCACCCCTGAGCCTGCGCTTTTCCAGGCTAAAGAGCCCCAGGGCTCTCAGCCTGTCATCGTAGGGTCTGCTTCCCTGACCTCTGATCATGCGCGTGGCTCTTCTCTGGACTCTCTCAAGCTTCTCCACATCCTTTTTGAAGTCCTCCAGCTGCAGCCTCACCAAGGCCGAGTACAGGGGGAGAATGACGTCCCGGGATTTGCTTGAGAAGCATCTATGGATGCAAGCCAGCGTTTTGGTCGCATTACTAGCTGCAGCATCGCACTGCAGGCTCATGTTCATCTTGTGCTCAATGATGACCCCCAAGTCTCTTTCTTCCTTAGTGCTAGCCAACATAGCACTGCCGAGCCTGTAAGGATGCTG